GAGGGTCTGCGGTTTGGTGCATTGCTCCAAGTTGTATCCCCGGCCTTGCTCATCGAACCATTTGGAACGACCTACGCCGCGCTGTTCTCGTGAGCTATAGGGTAAGATTGCATGCTGGAGAGCAAGAATCGGGTTCATGAAGTAGCTCGGGGGGTTTGCAGAGTTGAAATTTAAATGCGTTGCTTTACAGTATTGCGGGTATAGATGTGCGAGAGCCCTACTGATGTGACACCCCCAGTCGCCTATAAGCCGTATTAACAGAAACGTACATACGACATTATTCATACGATTGCTTGCGAAAACGGATATATCTCACCTCCCTGCGTGACATATTCTTTATATCCTAACTTTAGCATGAGCTTATTCATAGTTTCGGCATATTGCTCCGAAGCGAAACCCCGTTTCTTCGGACCCTCAGAGAATCCAAAGTTCGGCAACGACGGCGCGACGATGTCGAACGCGGGGTGGTTAATACCGTCGCCGTCTTCAGTTAGGGGTTTTAATACCTTTAAGACCTCCTGAAAGTGGCCTGGCCAACCGTGCATGAACAGCAAGGGAATTGCGCCTTTTACCTTGCTGCGGACGTGGATGAAGTGGATTGCTAGAGGCTCGAATCCATCGCACTGGATATCTGTAACAAAATGTGGCACGCTGTTAAGCTCTGCTTCTGCCTTTCTCCAGTCATATGACTCCTGCCAATATTTCACAAATCTCTTGACATCAGCAAGAGGAGATCCCACTATATTAACCAGTGTCAGCCAAAATTGTTTACGGCATGTCCACTGGGGTTCCATCAACTACCATAAAAGCCAAAAGGGGGATACAGAATCAACCGATCGACGACTCGAAGATAATAGGCACTTACTATCCCACCCCGCCTCATCGAGTTCATCTGGAAACTTGGCGAGAGACAGTCGCGTTTTCAAGTCATTTAAACGCTCTTCGTCGATTGCAATAGTATAAGGTTTGATATCTGCCATTATGGAAGGTGTTGAGTCGATGGTAACGAGTAGTTATAATTTCGTTCTACCAAAAACCGACAGATACCCAATGAAGAATGTAGAGTAGGATAGTGTTTAGTCTAAGTACCTAACCTAGGTTAGGTAGTTATTACATCTGGTATGGAAGCTTTATATATTAAGGTGACATATGCAGATTACAAATGCTATAAGTCGTGGTATTGGATCCAGAAGAATTTCTAAGCATATGATAGGTAGGGCGTACATATGACGTCGCAAAGGGCGCAAGACAAACTCTTAGCTACAACTCTAAGATATAAGTAAGGTATAGAATTTCCCCGTTGCATGCATGATGCATATATCACCTAGGAGACAAGGCAACAATTACCAGCAGATTACAACAGCCAGACAAAAGCACAACGCGTGGTGTTTCGATATCTAAAGTATTGTCACCCAATCATTATGTACTCAAGTAGGTATTCAAGAACAACATCATGTATACGCCCTAAACTAAGCTTACATCTATATTGAGACACGGGTTAAATCAATCTCGTGGATATGGGTAGGTATGGGTAGGTACATATAAGATAGAGACAAACATGCCACACGTATTGATCGTCCTTCTAAGGGCATAGGAGCTATGTCATAGAGCTCGGTTAGAAGCTACTATCTCGCTTAGGTATTCCTGTACGCATCATATTTGCATATAAGCAGTAGTTTTAGGTTTTGCACGGACCACCAAGGGGCCAAACCACATCCCCTAAGTGCATAGCTCCCGGCTTTTAATTGGCCAGTGCACATGAAATGAAAACAATATGTTCCAATGACTTTCCCCCCAAGTAAACAAATTCTGATGTCAGTTCCCCTTCTCTCCCCACAACTTCCTTAACTCCTTTAATTAACACCATCGCATATTGGCTCTATGCCCCAGCTTGCTTGAACAAATCCAGCTTGTTATTTCAAACTTGCGCATCATCTAGTTAACCCGTATTGAAGTCGCTACCTATCTATCGATCATGGCGCGTCGTTCAGCTCGCATCGCGAGCGCTTCCAAGGTAAGTAAACACGTTAGCCTGTTGCGCTCCTCACCGCTTCGACTTCGCGCCGCATCACTCTGCATCGCGCCAAAGATGCTATTTGCATAGCGAGGCTAATACTGTATCTAATAATAGAGGACTACCGCTTCGCCGGCGCCTCAATTAGGTGCTCTTCTCGAGCATGATGAGCGCACCCCTACATCCGCAAGGCTAGCTGCTCACAGCCTCGATACCATCACATCTTCCCCGATGCATCAACCTGCTACCCCCGCCGTAGCCACACCTGTCAAGCTGCCGATGTCAGAGAGGCATCCCAGCAAGGTTCACCCCACTACTGCGGCACCTTCGTCAGGCCTCAACCTTGGGTTTGTCGATATTGACTATACTAAGATACCCAACGAAGGTTCCGGAGGAATCCAATCTACCCCATCCAAAACGCGCATGCCATCTTCGGAATTCACCTTCCGCTACACCAGACCCAGCCGTGGTGCCGATGAGGGACTAACCCCCGCAGCTAAGAAAATGATGGAAGGTATCCGTGAGGAGGCTGCAAAGATCAAGGTTGAACTCTCTGCTAAGCATGAACAAGAGAAAGAGGAAGAGGAAGAGGCCGCCAACGAAGGTCGTAAGATTCGCTCCGCCAAAGGAAGAGCTGGTCGCTTCAGCGCTGTTCATATAGCCGAATTCAAAAAGATGGATTCTATCGAAAACCACCCCTCGGCATTCCGCGCCGTCCCTGGCCGCTTTACCCCCGTGAAGGGCAGCCTCAAACGTAGCCAATCGAAGGCAAACCTCGATGAAGCCGATTCAGCACCATCTAAGAAATCATCTACCCGCCCAGCGCCAAGTGCTCCCGAGAAGGAACAGGAGCAGCCCGCGTCGCCTGTCAAACGTACAAAGCAGCGAGTTGAGGACGACGTATCCACCCTCCGTCCCGTTTCGCGGGATGGTAGCTTCATTCCTCGACCCAAGAGTAGCGGTAATGATTCGATTCGTAGCGGTATCCCTCGCTCGCATGCTCTTGCCAATCTTATGACGCCCACTAAATCATCGCTTGCCCGTGCAAACAGTGTCAAGGCTCCCAGCGTCACGTTGACGAAATCTATCAGCAAGCCGGATCTTAGTAGCCTTGTTAGATCCCCAAGCAAGCCAGACCTTGGTAGTCCGGCTAAATTCTCTAGCAAGAACGGTTTTAATACCCTAAAGAAGTCTATGTCAAACAATGCCATTATGGACAACAAGCCTACTCATGTTCAAACGCCTGGTCGATTTGATAGAGTCAAGTCGATCCTAAAGAAACAGATGGGCGGGTCCAAACCGAAGTCCAACATTCCTCAGCTTGCCGCGTCTCCTTCAAAGACATCCTTCCAAGAGCGTATTGACGAGGAGCTACCTCAGGCGCCGCTTACTACCCCTGGACGAAAGCTGGAGCGACGCGTGAACTTTACCCCAGTGGTTAAACGAGCTACTATGCTCTTAGATTCTCCTTCGCCCGTTAAGTCGAGCATTCCACGCTCAAAGGCCTTGTCCCACCTTCGATTTGGTAGCTCCGTTGCTGAGAAGCCGGCCAATGACAAGGCTTCCGAGGGCGAGGTTACATATCCCGATCTCTCAGCTTACTGTCGAGATGTCATCGAAGATGCCGAAAAGTCTACCACGAGCCAGCCCCCCGAATCAGTTCCTGGCACTTTCACCTTCCGCAGCGATCATACTATCAGCTTTGGCGACGCATCTCCCCAAGGATTTGGCGCCGCTGCTGGCCAAGCTAGTCTCCGCCACGTTCGCAACTCTATTATGCCCACTAGCCGCATGCCCGGTAGCTTCCCGGGTCAACTTGAGGCGTCCCCTAATAAGGAGAACAAAGATCCAGCTGTGGGATCTGGCATCCCTCATGGAATGTCGAACAAGAAGAGACATAGAGCAACCTGGGACGAAGAGGAAGAAGAGGACGAAGGTATCAAGCGTGGCGCGAAGAAGCTACGTAAGGATCCGCGGGCAGTTGAAGGACATGCTCTCATCGCGCCTCGACTAGCGGGCGAATCACCAACCAAGAAGCTTGGTGAAACGGCCAACACCCCTAGCCCACAAAAGAAGAAGAAGAAGGGTGGCCTCAGCCTCAGCCGGTTGAACATGCTCGCTCGACCCAAGGTCCGAAAGTAATTGATTTTATATTAGGCGTTTATCAACCCCCCGGCATGTTGGCATTACGGAACGAATCACGGCATCTTACAGTACAAAGAAGCTCATGCTATTGCAATCATTGTTCAGGATATCTGGATTCAGATTGTTGACAGAAACACGATGGCGTAATGGGTTTCATCTCTGGAGTCCGAAATGCATGTACATTACCTTAGCCATGTCGCGTCCAGATGGGGGAGACTTGGCTGATTTTCTTTTCTTTTCATTCGCGGTAGTTGATTTGCAATGCATAGGGGATTCATGAACGGCTTTGTAAGACGACGAAAAATCGGAAATTTCACGATGGACAGGTGGCTCTCTCTCCTGGAGTAATGGTGTTAGTTGGCAATGGCGACACACAAGTCGCAAGGTTTGATAGGTTCTAGAGTTAATGATGATTACGATATTTGGCAATCAATCACTCGAGTTGCGATGGCGGATAATCATAGCTTGTTTAACAAACCATGCCTTCCCTATAACTAATAAATTAAATTTATATCTAGCTCCCCTTCCCTTGTCCCCCCCTTATTAGAGGACTTAGCAACGAGTCCCTTTCCCTTGTCCGGTTTGTTGCTGTTTTCATAACTTCCTTCACACCTCATACCTACCTGGGTACCTACCTACCTACCTAATAAACTCCATAATCATAACAGTATTTTAATATTATTGATAGAGGTCAGCTATCACGATAGTTACCTTATCCATCAATATCACCTCCTTGATATCATTAATTCTTTCTCATAAAGCTTGCTCTCGAGGCAAGACAAGTGTCTTTTTTCACCTTTAATAACTCTCGGCATTATAGGATTATTTCTTAAGCACTACGATGACACACACTCAACCATTCACGTGCACGTTCTGCTGGCACCCATCTTACGGCCCCCCGCATACCCTCGGCCGCTCCGCGCGCCTGACCTGCGAGTCTTGCTACCGCGGCCTCGTCGACCTCGCCATATGCTAGGTCTGCGGCGAGATCGTCTTCCGCGGCGAGGAGAGCGTGAGTCTGGGGTGGTGTTTCTGGCACCGCGCGTGTTATGGCTGTCTGTTTTGCGGGAGCAGGTTGGTGGTTATCGGGCCGACGATTGCGGAACTCTTCGTTGATGACGACGACGACGACGACGATGGTGATGATGATCGAGTTGCAAATAGTAGAGGTGGGGATGTTGTTGGGACGGGACGGGAGATCACGGAGGTGCCTATTTGTGCCAATTGCGCGGTGGAATGCGAGGTCGATTGCGAGGATCGGCGGGCTTTCGTGCGAAATGCTTTGTGTAGGGTGGATAAGAGTGATGGGGGTATGGCTGGCATGAGATGGGTGAAAATGGGCGGGCAGATGAGTAGGAGGGCTGTGGGAGAGATCAAGAGGGTGCCGGCTACGGTCCCTAAATCTGACCAGGTCGAGAACTCGTTGATGTCAATGCTGTTCAGTTTGGGCTGACATATTTACAGAGCCCGCCGTCTTTACATCGGTCACGATGGTCGATTCAGGGTCGGACACACACTTCACATGCATTTCGTCTACCAGTTGACGGCGCTTTGGGTGCTCCGGAAGAACTAAGCGGTAGTGAAGGGAACCGTGTCGCTCTTCCAGATCCCGTCATATACGTCTCGATTTTCGATCCTATTAACGAGCCTAGTTTCAAGCCCAGTCCTACAAAACCAATTCCTAAGTGGATGCGGTGGCTTCCTAGCCAACGAGGTCAAGATCGCCGTCAACAGACCGAGCCTCGACCCCATTCCATCCTTGATCAATATTTCCCTCCTAATCCCACCGAGCCGGATGATTATCCCATATCCAACTCACCTACTATTTGTCCAACAAGTCCCTCACCGAGCCCGCTCTACTTAGCAGCCACTCCACGACCCCCTAATCGCCTTCCCACGCCTCGAAGTTCGGAGTTTGGCAAACTAGCCGAGTCGACTATCACCGCCCTCAAGGGCCCTTCCTTCGTTCTAGACGAGCCATTAAAACGCCCTTCTTCGCGGATGGCCCAGCCAACATCGGCTAGTCCCAAGTCTGCAAACGCAGTGTTCACTCCACTACCTAATCCACCAGATCCTCGCAGCCACACACCATACGTCCCCCAGCAGCCGTCGCCTCTCGTACTCCACAACAGCAAAGCCGGTCCACGGGAGGCAGTCCCGCGCCGCGCCCCGTCGCCGCTAACAGAGCAAGTAACAGCCCATCTCCAGCGACGCGCGCGGCGGACGCCGCCCGCGCAGTCGAGAGAGTTCCTCAACATCTACAACAAGCCCTTCCAGCCGCGGAGCCCGAGCGCCGCGGTCCCGGGCCGCAGGCAAGACAGGGGTGTAGGCGACGGAATGCAGATCCGGGATATGCTCGGCCGGGACCGCACGCCGTCGCCGAGCAGCGGCGGTCCGAAGCACGTCGTTACGGATGGGGGGGAGGTGGTGGATGTGCGGAGCATGCGGAAGAAGTCGGGCTTGCAGAGCGAGATAAAGAGGTTTTTGAGTGGGAGAGGGGGGGGGGGTGGTAGGGAGGGATGATGGATGATGGAAGATGGAAGATGGAAGATGAAAGATGGAAGATGGGGTTGGGAATGTAAATTACTAACCTACTAACCTAGATTGGAGGGTTATAGGTGCTTAATGAGAATTGTTAGATTGAGTGAGGGTCATCTTGGAGATGCTGCTTTGTCTAGTGTGAGTTGATGGTAAATTGTAGTACCTGGGTTTTTCGCGGGCGTAATATATATGTCGGGTTGAAATACTCATTTTGGGGGTTTATATTGAGAAGTAGACGAGTATATAGATTCTGATTTATAATTCGGATGGTGTGTTGTAGTAACTGGGGGGGTTTTTTTTAAGTAAGATACGTGCTATATGATACGGATTTCAGTAGATCGGTAAAATGATAGAAGTTGTAGTAGAATAGTTACTTGATTTATTCTATTACGTGTTGTTACCTAGAGGGTAATATGTCATTTTTGGTTTGGGGTGGTTTAGCTGGTGAAGTTAATATCTAAGTTAGTATAGTTAATTAGACCACTAAGCAATGGAGGTGCTTATATAAGTTGACCGATAATATCTCTTGGGGTTGGTTAAGAGAATTGAAAAATTTAATGATATAATGTGTTACGGGGTTCCCTTCTTATGCTAGTAAAGCTTCAAGAAAGTATCAGTTGTAAATCCAGCTAACTAATTAACTTACCTGTTAATATCTTAAAAGGCTTCCTTACTCTTAGCTAGTTATCTAGAAATGCAAACACTATACCTATGGTTGATTATTAATTATAACTCTCGAGTACAGTATAAAATCTAACGATGCAGCTATGTTGAACAATTGATGAAGTCAAGCTTGAACAAAAGCGGCAGATGTCTTGTATCTGATTGGTTGCACTTTAAGGTCAATAATTCACATAGTGCGGTACTTAGGTATGTACATATGTAAGTCCAACAACCCCTGTCTCTTCCCCATCCCCTCCAAACTCCAAACTCCAAATTCCAAATTCCAAATTCCACCTAAGCTTCCTTCATTCTCACCTCCAACACCATTTCCATCTCCAGCTTCGCATCTTTGCCAACGCTCGCAACCGTCGCATGATACATAATATATAGCCAGAAGACTCGCTATCCCCTACTATAGAGCGCCTTCAAACAGCACACACGCGCAATGGCGCCAATGACGCGCGTGGACCACGATGCTCTCGAGCGTAAGTTATTCCTACCCTATCCTCCCTATACTCACTCATATGCCAATATATATATATATATATCTCCCTCTCTATCTATCTACACGCTATTACACACACACCAACCCCATACTAACCACCCCTCGCAGAACAACTCAAGGACACAATCCAAACCCTCACCAACGTCCTAGTCCAAGTAACCAACTACGACAACGCCGCCGGCGCCCCTCCGGTGCCCCCCTCAGGCAACAACACCCCCTCCTCGGCCTCCCCGCCCCACAGCCGCCCCTCGCGCGACGTCATCGCCAACGAGCTGCGCACCCTAAGCGCGAACCTGCAATCCATCCACTCGCGCGCCACCGACCCGCTGCTGCCACCCCTGCCGAGGGTGCCCCCCGAGCTGGTCGAGTACGTCGAGAACGGCCGCAACCCCGACATCTACACGCGCGAGTTCGTCGAGGCCGTCCGCCGCGGCAACCAGCTCATGCGCGGCAAGCAGGCCGCTTTTGCCTCCTTCCGCAACGTGCTGGCCGCCGAGATGGAGCGCGCGATGCCCGAGTTGAGGGACGATGTGGCGAGGGTGCTGGTGAATACTGCGAGGAGGTGATGGTGGTGGTGGTGGTGGAGATATACGGGGGGTTAATGGATGCGATATGAGCGAAGAATAAGTAAGTAAGTGGGTGGTGGGTGGACAGTGAGTAGTTCGGCTTGACAGAGGGATAAATCCAACGAGGCATTAAGAGGGAGTCGTACCCATCCATACCACGGATATTGGAAACTTACGGGGTTCCGCAGGACACGAGTACAGAGATCAAGTATTGCATGCATAGATGGCGTCTCGGTTGTAATTTTCGGGGAGGCATCTGGCTAGCACAACGACGCGCGAGAGCGTCAGGAACCATAGAGTGTGATTATACCTAGGGCGATACTAATAAATCCAGCTTGGCCTTAGAGGTGTGCTAGGCTCGTTATCAAATCAACTAGGAGAAGTCCTATTTTACTACAAAGTTCTGACATTTACGTCAAGCTAAAAAAAAAAAACTTGAAATCATCGAATTTGCATTGAACGCGTCGCAGCGCATTATAAACTAGCAAACCATCGTCGTCCGTTTCCCCTACCAGTTTTATTTTATTTACCTGGGTACCCATGCCGAGAACACCACTTTGAAATTTCCAGTCCGCCATCCGTAGATCTAGACCTTTCCTATCTTAGGAAGATGACTCTAGTTGGTCGGTTAGTTAGTTAGTTCTTAAGAATCTTGGTTAATTCCGCAACGACGGCATCGCCAGTCTCCTTGGTGCCGGCCTCGCCGCCGAGGTCCTTCGTCCGGACGCCGCCGTCGATGACGTTCTTGACCGCCTGCTCGATGGCGTCGGCCTCCTTGGGTAGCTGCAGCGAGTATCGGAACATCATGGCGACGGAGAGGATGGTGCCGATGGGGTTGACGATGCCCTTGCCTGAGATATCGGGGGCCGAGCCTGGGATTTGTTAGCCTGATCAGAACCCCGATGCTCCCGTATAATAAAAGGAGGCGGTGCTTACCGTGGATGGGCTCGTATATGCCGTTACACCTCGACTTGCCGTCCGGAATACCGCTCAGGCTGGCGCTAGGGCTCAGGCCAATGCTGCCGGGAATAACGCTCGCCTCGTCGCTGATGATGTCGCCGAATAGGTTGCTAGTGACGACGACGCCGTTCAGACCGCGCGGGTTCTTGACCATGATCATGGCCGCGCTGTCGATAAGCTGGTGCTGGAGCTTCAGCTGGGGGAACTCGCGGGCCATCGTCTCGGACACGACCTTGCGCCAGAGGCGACTCGACGCCAAGACGTTCGCCTTATCCAGGCTCCAGACGGGCGCGGGGGGATCACTCGCAAGCGCGATATACGCAGCGAGGCGGGTGATGCGCTCGATCTCCTGGCGCGAGTACAGCTCGGTATCCCAAGCGACATCTCCGTCGTCGCCGGCCTCCTTGCGCTCGCCGAAGTAGATGCCGCCCGTCAACTCGCGGACGACGGTGAAGTTGGTGCCGCGGCAGACGTCAGCCTTGAGCGGGGAGTACTCGACGAGCGACTCCGAGGGGAAGAAGCACGGGCGCAGGTTGCCGTACGTCTCCATCTCCTTGCGCAGCTTCAGGATGCCCTGCTCGGGGCGCACGGCGCCGGTGCCCCATTCTGGACCGCCGATGGCGCCGAGGAGCACGGCGTCGGCCGATTTAGCGGCCGCGAGGGCTTCGTCTGTAAGGGGTGTGCCGTGGGCGTTGATCGAGCACTGTGGTATCCCAATAATTATATAACGTGTCAGCTAGCTATGTTCTTATGTTCTTCCCTTCTCTAGGCACGCACGTGAGCGATTCAAGGGGGGGCGGTACAGAGCGGGGAGGGAAGGGAAGGGAAGGGAAATAAGGAGGCTTTTTGGAATTCGGAAAACGTACGCCGCCTAGTAAGTGTTCTTGAAGGTTGAACTTGCCGACAGAGGGTCTGGTGGACTCAACCGCTTTGATGACCTAGTAGCGTAGTCTATATATTAGCATAGCTCTTGTAATTGAAGCGGTTGCCGTGTACACGGATGTCTATGTCTTCTCCAGCTGGGCTGTCTTCGCCCATCTCTTGCTAACTTACTTTGACGGCCTCGGCCACGACCTCGGGGCCGCTGTGATCTCCGCCGAAGACTACGATGTTGTGTGTTGCCATTTTCGGGGGCCAATTGGGTTCGTAAGGGGAATTGGATAAAAAAAAAAGTAAGTGAAGGAGTAATTCCGAGTTGATCGAGGAAGTGACCGAGCTATAATATAGAGAGGGTAGGTAGGTACCTAGGTATCTAATGGAGCTGGGGAAGTTGCTTTGGGGGTTGTTCTTGCCCGTAGCAAACAAAAAAAGCTAACGGCAAGCTGCCCCGCGTTAATTGCTTGTGTCTCCGAACCCACCCCGTGATTGCCGAGATCGGCCTTCTATATTGGATAGCTCTTGCTCTTTGTTTCCCGGCGCTCTTCTATCTGCCTATGAAGTTTACTGATTTAGTATACCGAGGACCGGTTTATCGGACTTCACCTGATCTATGTATACTCTACACCACTCACTATCCACTCAATGGGTGCGTCATGTGCTTCTATTTGTTAGGCATTCATATAGCTATATTTCCCTTACCCACGAACTTGCATAGCTCAATTATTATATATCTTTAAGCCATGCCGTAGCAACCGCTTATACATGTGCACATGTAATATGTAAACGATTGATCATAAAAACAATAAACACATCAAATCGGCACCTTTGCCACATAGCCTTCACAAATATGCGCTTCTTATTGCTACTCATCATCTATAAAGTATAGATTAGGGTATCGTGTAAACGTTAAGGTCCCCAGCTGAATCCCGTAGCACTATTCTATCCCGTCTATATCCAATGAGCGCCATTCACATATGTCCCCATTATATTAACGTATCGTAAGCAACATGCCTCGTTACGAACACTGCACGTCGTCATCTAAACGACTTGAATGACTTGTGTGCCAGCGGAGACGTAGCAGGTACTCGGGGGTTCGTGCCCCCCATACTCCTGCGTATTTCTCGACCTCGCATTCCATGGGCGTTCGGCGTGTTCGCACAAAATGCACATATATACACGCTGGGATGGGTTTGCCGTGTGATGTTGATACATTTACCATGAAGCCACATCTCGCATGATTCACTATAATAGGGGTTAGTCATGATATTGAATGGTGTCGTAGCTCGACTATATAGGGGGAGAAAGGAAATCGTATGGGTACCATTGAACCATATAACTATTTCCATGGATATGGTTATTAGCTGTGTTGCAAACGCATCGGATGCGGTGGCCTCGTTCGTTGGACTGGCTACGGAGCTGACTGGACTTTAAAGGGGAAGGAGTTAATCTTGAGGCTGGCCGAGGTATGAAATTCTCATTCATGTTGGACGCCCTCTTCTGACGGTTCTCGATAACTCTGCGTAGCTCACTTGTTGCGTCGCCGTAGTTACTACCGCCGGGCACGTTCATCACCGTCTCGGCCTCGCTCTCAGGATCATCGACGGGATCAGGTTCGTTATAGTATATTCCGAGACTACTCGTACTCTGGTCACTAATACTCCGCTGAGAGGAGTGGAAAGGGAGAGACGCCGGGTTTCGTGGGTCTGGGAGAGCGAACGACGTGTTCCGGCTAGGAATAATTATAGGTTCGTCATCCGTTGAGGAATCATCATCTTCCGAGGATGCCCAGCTTTTGCCTTTGCTACGCTTCTCCTTCCGACTACGCACTGCCGTTGGTGTTGTATCCTCATCTTCTACGACGATTGTCGTTGTTTCCGCGCGAGCCCGACCCCTCGAATCGATTGTGAACTTAACCGAAGTTTGCGTTCTTGGGGGTGGTGTTTCAGGGATGGAGCTCAAACTTGGAAGTCGTTGTTGATGATTCTTCAATGGTGATATTCTCCCACTTCCGCTTATTCTAGATCCTTGGGATGCCGATCTTCCAGTACTCTGTGGCATGGGTCGTGTAGCTGGTGCAAGGTTAGGTAAATTAGCCGCCTTGCTGACAGGCTTTCGGCTTATCTTCTCGCCGAGGCTACGCGATAGCCCGGGGCGATCAGATGGCTTGGCCGGTGAGCTCGCGGACACCCGATTCACCTTTTTGCCGGCGTTTATTTCCTTGTTGCTGGCTGAACGGCGAACGGCTCCACGCTTTGGCGCCTTGGCAGCTAATATGACGGGCTCTGGATGCGAAAAAGATTGCATCGAGGGAGGCTGCGATAGAGGGTTGAAAGAGGCAGGTTCCATGTTCGCAGACGGCGGCCTCGTAAACAGGAGGCCGGGATCTACGGAACCATTCTGGTTCATCATGGCAAAAGATTCGTCAGCCGATGTAGCAAAGGACTGACTAAACATTGCCGTATCGGTAACGCTTGTGTCCAAAGTCGGTTGCGGAGGTTTTGGCGCAAGTGCCCGTTCCTTCTTCGCTGGCGGGTTACTTTCTTGGCTTTGGGATGGAATAGTGCCAGTTTCTTGAAACATCTCGTTTGACTTGCCCCAATCTATAGAGCTCATGGGCCGGTGACTAGAAGTTTGGAACATCTCCCCGCTAGCAACGGAAAAATCGATGTCCATCCCGCCCATATCAGTATCCCAGAACATGCGCGAATCTCCATAGCCAGAGGCCGTAGGTGGCGCTGACATTGGGTATCCAAAAAGATCCGTGGGGGTCGTTGGGATAAAACTGTGCATCTGCTGCGGCGTGCCAGCTACGAATTCCTGTTCGAATCCGTCATTTTGCATATTGCCCGTCCGTAGCTTTGGGGCGAGTCGCTGCCTCCCTTTATGAGTAGACGGCGGCGGTGTAGCCGTTTGCCCCTGAGTCTCTTGCGCTCCGTCTCGGTGAATTTTCTTGGGCAGCTGTTGAGAACTAGACCGGAAGCCGGCTTCGGTTGGGCTATGACCGGAGGCTAAGGGGTTCGGGGATGATGCCAGCCGCTTGGACGGGTCAACAGGCGGTAGAGGTAAATTTGGGTTCGGCGAAAAGTGAGGAGCATGGGTTGAAATTTCAGCAACAATGCTCCCGGCAGATAGGAGTCTCTTATGATTTGAAGGCTGATAAGGGACAGAGTAGTCGGCAAAGGGAGCGTGGGAAGCTTTGAGGTTACCGGGGGTGGAATTGAAGACGGAATACTCCTCAGCAAACTGAGGAGTCCACCCAGAGGAATCCTCGAAGGAAACTCGGTTATTCTTGGGGGTTTCGAACACAGAGCTTGGGAAAGCAGCGGTGGTCGGGGTTTGCTTTGGGGTGGGAGGCTGAGCGTTTGGATCACCAAAGCTATAAACCGAATATTAGCACTGAGACAAGTGGACAGGGAGAACGAAGGTGTCTTGCCTAGAAGTTGGTCTGTCTCCACTCATAGCAAAAGTATATCGATCTTTCAAAGGAAGTTCTCCTTAGGTTAGATAGCTAGTCGTAAATGTTGAAGTTTGTATGTCATTGCACATTATCATATATACAATTCGTCGAGCGTTGAGGCGTGGCCAGGTAGATCAGCCAGGTAGTCAGGTAGATGGTAGATGGTAGATGGAGGTAGATATGTATGTCCGTTTGCTAGATTTAGGCAGAGCTAGATTATTACAGATTAGAAACTTTTATTGTCGGTAGAGATGTAGACTTAAAACTTAGTCTCGGGGTATAACACACAGCTATGAGTGAAAGCGGTTAAAAAAAGAGTCGTGTATCATTAATTGGTGGTCTAAAAGTTGAAAAAAGAGAAAAATCATACGTCCAATGGCGGTTGTCGTGGTGAAGAAGCGTTGGTGGGTAAAAAAGGTGCTTAAGGCAGATGCGGGTGTCTCTAAGTTTAGGACGGTTTGCGGGTTTGCGGGTTTGCGGTTAGGCTATCGGGTAAATTTTTAGGTAGGTAGACTTAAGGTCTGTGCAACTTGTGCTAAACCTAGCGGTACTTTTTTTTCTTTTTCTTATAATACAAGGTAATGGCAATTAGGTACGGGGCAACTTAGTAAGTGTAACGAGGGGCAGAAAGCAAAAACGATAGCAATTCTTACCTAGTGGATGGTGCCTAGTAAGACCTGCTAACAACTCTCTAAATCTAAGAAGTGCACTTCTAAAGACGGAATCAATTGGTTAGGAGATCTTAGGCGAGGAGACCAACTAAGGTAGATAAGCGGCGCGTAAACTCCTCGTAAAGCAATACTAGGTTGACCTAACCTAGGTATGTAACGCAAAGCCTCTAACACTGAGATAATTCTATATAACTACCAACCTAGAGGAAGCTGGGTTGATCCCCGCAGTTATTCGGCATGCTCTTAAATTCATCCTAATACGAATGATAATGATGACGGGATTATCATGACCTAACCCTTATTTTCACTGTTATCACAGTTAGGTATATCAATAGTTATATATACTAACTATGGTTTCTTGCAACTTGTAAGGAATTCGGACCTGCAGAACTGCATATGCTCCGTCTCCACCAAGCGGACAAATTGCTGAATTGCTGAATTGCTGATGCTTACTACCCAGGTGCGGTACCGAGTCGGAGAAATCTCCCTATTATAACTTACCTCAACACCAAACTGTATTTTATAACAAATGCTCATCACTTCCACACCTACACGCCGTATAGCACACGGTACCTAGCCTACATACATGTCGGTATAGTACATAGCCTACTGGCATCCGCATCGTCCATCGAATCATTGTGGATTGCGCTAGGCTGTTGTACGTAGGTATGTAAAGCTTCCAGCCTATAGAATAATGCTAGAAAACTCCATTCGATAGGTATCATTGGTTACACCCAAGATGGATCCAGCGATTTCGAGCTAGGACCTGCATTAGATGGGACGAGAATGAGTCAACAGAAGAACTATCCCCGCACAGCAGGCAGCTATATGCAGTTTGCTATTAAAATCGTAGCTTGGCCGTGCGAGAAAGATGAGATAGGTAGTTATATAGACAGTTATTATGTATGTGTCGGGAGTATTTAGATCTCGGCTGATGCAATATGGTGGTAGGTATATCTATATCAATCAGACCATAGTGAAACTCTAGGTCTTATTGTGGTAATTGTGGTAATTGTGCCATCGATACCGGGGCAGTTGTTATTTCCATCAACTACCCGGTGGCTTGTGTCTGCAACAGAAAAGAATTGCCTTTTGCTTGGTCCTGTTGGCGCCACTACCTCAACAGGCGCCGAGTCTTTCTATATTTAAAGGAGAATGGGGGAACTGGAAATAGTTCAATGGCAATAGACGCCCTTTAATGTGGCAGGTTGGTCAAACTCGACTTACGTCGTAACACTTTAACCTCGAACGTATTAATAGAGATTGGTAGAGGAAGCGCGCGTGTTTCCTCCGTCTTTCACCTGCCCGATGATAGAAAATGCCCGATCGATAATACTACCTCCCATATTCGATTGCGTACGACGTGTTCCCCCAATGCGGAAGCAGGCCGGTGACGTCGGATCTGCAATGTACCCTGCATAGCCCTATGGCTCAACAAGTGATTACATAGGTAGTAAATATTGTAGCAGACCCTTGTAACCTAACCTAGGGAATTGTTCGCTTGGCTTGTTATTGGTTCGCTCTCGTTCGACAAAAGGTATCAACTCCGCAAGAAGTCCATGTGTAAGAAAGTCAAGGTACGCAGATGCATTACCTGCCTAGGTTACTTAGGTAGGTATGTATCTTTAAAGTCTACCTGTTAGTACATGTAGGTTACTATGTACATAATGTATCCCCAAAATCTATCTTTAGTTCCTGCTGTGTACATGTAGGACAATAACTCGCATATGATTGGCCACGTTGTTTTATGCTATTTCCCAAAACGTGCCAATTAAACCTCCACATTTTAGTCTTGATAGTACCTCTTCCCTTGAACTAGTCGAAGACTTGGGATTTTAACCTTATATAAGCTGTTAGATAATGTCATTGCTACTCGACTTGGACTTTTACCACAGAGCGTTTAATTTAAGAGGTATAGTTTCATATATTTGAAAACCATAACTAGATAAATATCCAGCTTGTTTATTTATCAATTCAAATAGGCACTTGGTTCCCATGTCAATTACGAGCAAAAGCAAATCCAAAATTTTATATTATATCACACCCCTTAATCATTCTTTCAAACACATGTCTGGATGGGTAGGAAATCCGATATTGGTAAAATACCACCGAAGTACATTTTGTTAATCCAATATTTTGATGCGACGTAGGATACGGTGAGGCAACTTTTCCTATTCTTGCATATGAGTCTCCAAAGCTGTAACTAGAAGCCAGTGAACATCATAAAAAATGGTTGCAGATTGCTACTCACAAGATGTGTATTCGAATCCTCCCTCATATACGTTAGCTATAGTATCTAAGGCCTAGGAAGCGCATATGCAAGGTATGATATGTTCTCGTGTGAACACTGCAACCCTAATGCAATAACATACCGAGGAAGGATCTGTTGAAGTGACATTACTACAGATCCAACACCTCTTCAGGTCATCAAGAAAGTGTTCATTCTCGTCGGCGTTAAGCTTATCAACTATCAACCGCCGGTTGCAACCTTATGGGTCTTTACCTATCCGGCTGGTCCATCATCACTGTCGAGCCAGTTCTACGAGCTTTAATGTATGCATCCGGTATCTTCGTCAGCTCCCCTCTCGCAGATAGTTACCTTACATGGTATGATACCTCGGTAATGATACAAGCCGTAGCTTGAAATCCTAAATTATCTGGGCGCTCAAAAATAAGCCACTACCCGAGACTTAGTAAAGGGGGGTCAGTGTCATAGATACTGCAAACTCAATTTCGTAAAGACAGCTGGAACATTCCTACAAGTGTATGGAGCGTGCAGCGAAGAAGGCTATTGGCAATAGGTTGGAATGTGGCGTGGTGCTGTCGTAAAGACTGCTTAAATATGAACAACACAGAGACAATTGATTTACTCACATGAAGCAGAATAGTTGTCGTATAAGCGATAGCGACGCCACTGAGGCGCCGGGAAGGCAACTCCGACGAGGCCAGTAAGTGACTGTATTCTCTCCTGTTACAATGATCCCATACAAGGACGCCAGCTTCAACAATACCAACCACCTCTTACCTGCCCCCCAGTTTCAAGACAAAAAGCCTCCTAATGTATTAATATTCACCGGCCGTACTCGAGACTCAGCATCGAGATACCTTGCTTGGACACGTCGAATCTTAATATAGCTGTAGCAGCGAGGAGCGAATCGGCGGCGGTGGGGGGGCAGAGTTCAGTAATACGAGGCTATTCAGGGGCACAAGCGCTTAAAGGGGCGCCTCGTGTAAAAACGGCCTAGACAGCGTAAACAGAGAGTTATAATAAGACTTGCTTATCACGATGGAAAAGGCGAGCGCTATTCGGTTGTGATCTCGCTTTTGTAACCTCGCGTAAATGTCATCAGGTTTCGTGATATTTGGTATGGATCAGGGCTCGAAGCGAAGGGAAGATACTCGGAGACGTGGATATGAATATGTAACAGATAGGGTCATCTTGGGGTTGCATTAGAGAATGAATAGCTGAAGAGCAAAGTCGCCGCATACCAGAAGACATATTTAAAGATAGTAGTTATAAATATATCATATCAACAGAAATTTCTCCAGATAGACCTCTGATTCCTACAGGTCCTTTTGTCAAGTAAAGACGTGCGTTGCAACTGAGGAGCCTTCGGAGCGGCAGGAGATATGAGAGCTCAGGAAGTCCAGAATCCTCCGCGAATTGCGCACCAAGGTACCATATGCCGAAGGGTACTAACGCGAGAGATTCCGATCCCGCTCCCGCCCTCAATCCTATAAGCCACTATTTTACACGTCGCCAGAAGGATCGCACCAACGCCGATCCTAGAAGACATCCAGGCCAATGGTGCGTGTGTGAATGGCCAGACCATTTATGTTTGCTTAACACATGCATAGTTGGGTAGTGTCGAGAACGCATATAGGCAGGTAACTATTATTACGATGCTTGTTTCTATTCGTACTTGAACTTATCAATGCTCAACTTATCATTCTATCAACCAAGAACCCCTTTATACTTATTGGGGCACAATGGCATATAAAGGAATTAATTGTTAGACAGGTTTAAGTGATGTATATCGGTCAATATAGTTCTAATACAACAATCCACCAGCGTCCCTAAAGTTATATACGTCCTCCAGACTGCTGTGTACTTCTCGGATATAAAGCTCTACAAGCCCCATCCCAGTCCAATAAAATATAAAATAAGGAACAAAAATAGGTACTTCTTTCTAGAAGCATTGTGATCTCGTCCCTTTCCTGTAGAACCGTGGGATTGCATCAATGGTATGCAGCTAGTACGACGACATCGACTGCCCCGAATATCTATGTACCCATACGCCCGTAGAGAAGAATTTGTAATTTCCAACAGC